GGTCTGTACTTTTTATTTTATATTTTCATTGATAACTAATCAGAAACTTTATTGAAATACTACTACTACTACTACTACTACTACTACTACTAACAACAACAACAACAATAGTTTAGAGTCCAAGGAAAATGAGGGCAATATACCCCCCACCCCCAATTAGTAGGAAAAAAAAGACATACCCATTGCCGCTCTCCCCCAGTAAGACAAAACCTCAAACCCCAAAATATAAGCAATAATGTGGGGTTATCGAAAGGCTATCTTTCTACTGAATTTGCAAGGTAAAATTAAGTTTGTGTCAAAGATGTAGCTTCCTGAACATGGTGTCTTAGAATCTAAGGACCTAAACCTCTATTTCTCATCCATCTAGTTACAGTTATTGAATCTCCTTCCACCACAGGATTAGCATATCCCAATGAAACAATCCAGTTTAGACCATTGAGCAAGTATAGAAGCTTGGCCCTTGTTAACTCTCCCCAACTAATAGGACCTGAGTAAACCATCAAAATTTCACTTTGATCATACCTGAAAAAGCTACCAGTGTGGAATTAGTAAGTGGAGGAATCTAGGGTTCAGTTCTTGAAACCCTCATCCTTTATGTCAAGACTACCATTTACAAGCCTCCAAGCCCCTAACAATATCATCCATGGTGTACGTCAAAACTCATCCAAAGTCCAAAATGGATGTACAACTCATCCAAATCATCTAGAAACAATCTTTTTTTGATAGTTCAGTATTCCTGTACATGTTGATAGGATCTTACCGCTATTTCCCTGAAAAAAAAAAGAAGAAAGTGAGGAAAAATAGGCTGTCAATATTTGAAAGAGGTTCAAGACCTCCCATGTTAACAAGATTAGTCGTTTTCCATCTAATCCTTGCTTCTGGTCTTCTCTTCTATAGTTTTTCTAGATTCATCTTTTTTTTTCTTTTTAATTTTTACAGGTCTCATTAGCCAATTGAATTGGATCAAATAAGATGACTATTCCCTGGACAGTTTTAGGTACAAGTTGCAACTTTGTAGATCCACTGGATATTGACTCAAAATTGGTATCAACTCAAATTCACTTATCCTGTATTTCATATCAAATTTTGGTTATGCAGCTACCCAAATTCAATTTGACTTATTTGCATCCCTACACAGGTGAGAAATGTAGGAGCCATTGTGCTGTTTTATGGTAAAATCTCGTGTTGGAAAGTGTGAGAACACATGTTTGAGACTGAGTGTGGCCACTCGCAAGACCCCAAATAAGCTAAGACCAACATGGGTAATGCCATAATGGCCTTTTTAAACAAGATAGGAGATGAGTTCAAACTAATGGATATTTGGTAAGAAAAATTAATCAGCTTGGAAGATTCTCACCATCTGGTTTAACATACGCTTCTTTTTCAGTGCTAATGAAAGAAAAAAGAGATTTTACCCAGATAAGCTAAGAACAAGATGGGTAATGGCCTTTTTAAACTGGAGAGGAGATGAGTTCAAGCTAATAGATATTTGGTAACAAAAATTAATCAATCTGGAAGATTCTCACCCATCTAATCTAACATATACTTCTTGGTGCAACATAACCAAATTACAGGTGGCCATGTTTGATCCGTTCAACATAACCAAATTACAAGAAAAGACCATAGATGAAGAACAAAACCGGGAAGCAGCAACTTTAGATCAAGAATGGAAATACAAGAACATCAGATCCAAATTATTTAGTAATTAATAGGCTTTTATTACTTTACTAACAAGCATTAAAGTAATAAAAAATTAAAAGTAGAAATAAATGAAATCATATTTGGCACCATTTCTTGTTTGACATGAGGGGGTGTCTTTGCACAGAGATAGCAGAAAGAACCTCCATTAAGACAAAACAGAACCAACATCTAAACCATCTATCATATAGTTTTGTGACAAGTGAAAATAAATTAAAACAGAAATAGTAACTGACAAGTTCTTCCATAATAGAGCCGAAGCTGATAAGAAAATTAACCAAGATAAAACTAAAAATTGCCACAATAATACTCTAACAAGTCCTTTTAAGTGTGTAATATGTTCCAATTTTATGTAGAAACTAAAAAGCATTACATTAAGGGTGCCTCTAGAAGTAATTGATGCCATGGATTTCAGAATACAGAGGAGCTAGAACCTGTTTCAGCTTTGAAGGCTCCATGACATCACCAGCTAAAAGCATGTTTGGTGTTGTGAAAGTAATTCAGAAGTTTTTCGAGACAACTTATGCAACAAGTGTAGGCAAGGAGACGTGAAGCAATACAAGGTCTAAGTGTGGTATTTCCATTGTGTAATTTTGAAGCTTGAGAACATTATCCCACCCAACCACATGGTCCCACTTCTTACTCAATAGCTTGGAGGGAATTCATGTATAACAAGGACCACTTCTTACTCAATTGCTTGATCTGCTTGAGCTGAGGGTTCAGCATTTGGTGGGACCAAATGACAATAAGTGCAGTGAATGTGGGTGTTATTAGAATTGAAATAATTCAGTGATGCCATTTTCAATTCATGTGGTTTTACTCTGATGCAATCACACCATTGTTTTACCACAAGATTTTACTCCCATCTAACCCATGGTCCATGGTCCAGATCTCTATAATTGCATCTGGACAGGGCTCTTTGCAATAAATCTCTCTCTCTCTCTCTCTCTCTCTCTCTCCACCTCCCCCCAAGAATAGACTAGTAGGGGCAAGGTGAAGGGTACAACCATTAATGGTAGTGTTGGGTCAAGATGAAAGAACACATTCAAGGCCCCTGAATAGAACAACAACCTTTACCTCTGAAAGGGATCCATGGTAATGTTGGGCCAAGATGAAACCAAAGGCTTCCAGAGAAAACAACTTCAATTGTAAGGGATATGCCCACACCATTTGCTTCCTATTTTACTTTTCACAAACAAAGTAAAATTTGGCTTTAGGCTTTGTAAGGAATTGGTTGTCTATTCTTGCTATCTTTAAAGAGGTTAATTCTGATTGTAATTTTTTTGAGAGTGACCTTTTGAGGTCGTGATGGCTTTTTGTATAGCTTCTCATTGTACAAAGGACCTTTTCATTAATATTATTATACTTTACCTTTTGATTAATAATTAGGAGTGTCCCCTTGTATAAAAAATGGGTTTTGTCCAAATGATTTTATTTTATTTTCTATTCTTGTTGCTGATTTGCCTAATCTGTTATTCCTTATCTAGGGTTTATCCAGTCCTAATTAGAGAACATGGACTGTTGACCCTCATGGCTGTTTTTTTATTTCTCAGTTCTCTGTCATAGGATCATTCTCAGTTTCTGACTTATGCCATTTCTCAGCTCTCATTTTCTTTGCATCACCAAGATCACCTACGAATCTCCCTGTTCATATACCTTGGGGGGGGGGGAGAGAGATTCCTACTCTTTTAGAGTCTTCCAATGACCTGGCTAATTCAGCTGCTAGAGGAGGGTAATGAGGAGTGTTTTATTTTGGGGTTCTATCCTACCATACAAGAGTTTTTCAAGTAAGTGTTTGGGGAGATTGGTTGCTATTATTTGCCTGAGTTTTTTCCCATGTAATTTCTCCTTTTCTCTCTTCTTCCGATTCCATCTATCAATAAAATCTTGATTTTTACCAATAAAAAATGCTCATTATCAAACATACTGACCAGAAAAAGAGTTAGATTGAATTGAAACTGTTTGATTTGTTTAAAATTTAACAACTTTCTTTCCATGAGTGAGTACTGACATAATAAATGTCTGATATTTTTGTTTCTTTTGTTGCTAAGGTTTCATGGAGTAATTTCATCTTCATGTATCATTATTCTGAGTTATCTTTTAGTTTCATCATTCTTATTTTCAACTACAGAATTGTAGTTTTTTCTATCTTTTTGTTATGGCCTCATCCTAACTGAATCTTTTCTTTAGATTCTTTACTATCTAGGCTTGGATCATGTTGGGCATACTATAAATTATGACTACAGAATCATAGTTCTCACAGTCTTATATTCATACTATTTACTTGATAAATTTCGTCTCTATCCTTGATCAAGTCCTCTGGATCTATTGTTATTACTAGCTATTATCCATACTATAAATTATGACTAAAAATGAACCAATAATATAGTGTAATTAAGCCTAGATTTTCAGTTTCTTATTAATGAAGATTTTGATAAGAGCAAGGGTAAATAAATCAATAATTTCGTTCTAATTTAATCTTTTTATTTTAATTATTCATTTTATTGTTGTTTCATTTAATGACTTATTCTACTCATTTATCACCTAAATACAATGGAATATGTAGAATCAGCCTCTCCATTTTACTTCCTCTTGCCAAATTTATTTATTATTCTATCTTATTATTATTTATTTTATTTTTTTTCTCTTCTCTTTTTTCTTATGTTTTGAGTTACTTCATCCTCCATGGCTAATCACCCCTTTTCACTCTAATTCTACAAATGGAAAGATCACCTCTATTTCGCTCTACCTATTTTCAAGTCATCATTCTCTACTTTCATTCTCTTATATATTTTCTTTTATTGCTTTTCATGATATTATTTTCTTTTTTTTATTTTTGACATGGGAATCATCCAAAATTGTAAAGCTAAATAAGTCCAACAAATCAATCTTACCACATTCATTCCACAGGGATAAAGCCACATCACAATATAATGCTTATGCTAAACATCAACTAAGAAAACATAGTAGGTCTTGCATTTAGATTGATTCCCAAACAAAACAAACATAATCAGGCTCACTAATTACGTCATTCAAATAAGATTTGACTTTCGAAAATGGTGGTGAATATGAATACGATGAAAAAGAGATACGAATAGAGAGGGAGAAGGAAAGAAATTGACAAGAAAAGCGGAGGAAAAAGAGGTTGCCGTTGTTACTGTGTAGAATCCAGTTCGTGGCTGCCATCCCAACGAAGAAGATGAAGGGAAATGGGGGATTCCTTGAGAAAAAAAAGAAAAGAAAAAAGAGAAAAATGGAGAGAATGATAGAGGAGGAAGAAAGAAAGAGGGTCAGAATGTTACCTCCTCTTCTCCTGCTCGAATGAACAAGTTTGGTGGTGGCTTGGATATCACCTAGAAATTTCCCCCTTCTGGTATCTTTCCCCTTCTCAAACAAAGAATGAATGCTGGATTGGAATCGCATAACTCTAGATTTCTCTCCAAAAAATAAATCTCCTCTGTCATCTTCTTCAAAATTTTTCTGCAAGGTTCTCTTTGTAGAGAACTTTTTGTCTTGTCGAACAAGAAGGAGACTATGCAAGGAAGAATTTTTTCGCCTTCCGGCGTTGCTCCTACTACCGGTCCGTTGTAAGATTAAACCAGTTTAAATCTGGTCCGTTGTAAAATCTATCGAACATATCACTGTAGACCGTCATGTCAGCTTCTAAAAGCAATGTAAGCGGCAGTTTCTAGAAGACCGCCTCCTCACTCTAGCGGCAGTCATTAAGACCGCCGCCTTTGACCTATTTTCTTGTAGTGTTCTTCCTGTTAGAAAGAGTGGCAATGAATTTTATTGGAGTCAATTTAGACATAAATGGGCTTTCTTGGTTTTTTTTTTAAATGCCCGAAGGCTTATCCAATCCAATCCTCAGTTACATCAAAATATAAGGCAAAAATCAGAAAGTTCGGGATTATGGACCAAGTTTTAGGATACTTATAGCGTAATGAGAATTTTGCAAGGATGTGAGCTGCCTTGTTACAATATCTGGGCGTAAAGATTACTAGGAATTTGGAAGGTGGGAAAGAAGACTCTTGCAAGAAAAAATGAGCGAGAAGATGCTCCATGGAGGGTTTGTGTTTACCTCCAACAAAATGTCAAAGTCAGATCAAAAAGTAATGAGAGAACAAAGAATAGTTATACAACAAATAAAAGTAAAAGTAGATGACAAACTTGAGTCATTGCTTTAGTCAACAAGTTTGCTAGTTGGAGCTTGGAGGAGACATGAGGAAGAGATATGGTACCTTCAAGAAGGAGATCACAGACGATGGTGATTCATGAAGTATCTCAAGTAGAAGAGCCCCAAACCATATGATCTCACTACACACTGAAGACATAGCCCTGTATTCAACTTTAGTAGAAGATTTGGACACAATAGCTTGTTTCTTGCACTTCCACGAGATAAGAGAGATGCCTAAGAATACACACTAGCCAGTAGTGGACTGTTGAGTGTCAGGGCAGCTAGCCCAATTAGCATCCACATAAGCTATAAGGCTAATAGAGGATGTAGAAGAGAAGAATATCCCGTGTGACAAGGTGCTTCGCACATATCTAATGATTCGATGAACTGTAGATAAATGAGGTTGTCTTGGGGAAGACACAAACTGGCTTATTATCTGTACTGCATAGGATATATCCGATTGAGTCATGGTGAGATATATCAAAATGCTCACTAGTTGACGATAAATGGTAGGATCTTCAAGGAGAGAACCGTCATCTTTGCTGAGTTTCAAGTTCAATTCTAGTGGGGTATCTACAACCTTAGAATCACTAAGATTTGCCAGTTTGACAAGACCAGCCATATACTTTTGTTGGTTAACAAAGTAGCCTCTAGAGTTTCCACTTACTTTTAAGTCCCAAGAAATATGTCAAAGTCTCCAAGTCCTTCATCTTAAAGGACTCACTAAGTAATTGTTGTAGCCTAGCAATTCCTTCTGTATCATCCCCTATAATGAGAATGTCATTTACATAGAAGAGTAATATCACTACTCTCTACTTTCGCCATAAGATGAATAAAGAATAATCAGAAAGACTTTGGATAAAACCAACATCAGTGATGACAAATCTGAACTTCTCAAACCAGGCCCTAGGAGCTTGTTTCAGGCCATAAAGTGACTTCTTCAGGCGACAAACAAGTTGCAGGTTTGTACAATATCTAAGAGGAGCTTCATATAGACTGTCTTTTTAACTCCCTATGGAGAAAAGCATTCTTGACATCCATATGATGAATTGTCCACTGTTTGGCTACAGATACAACCATCAGAAATCGTATAGTGGTCATCCTTGCTATAGGAGCAAAGGTCTCCTCATAGTCTATCCCATATTCCTGTTTGTAGCCTTGTGCAACCAGCTTAGCTCTGTAGTTGTCTAGGTTTCCATCAGATTTTAGTTTTATAGAATAGACCCAACTACTTCTTATGAGAGATGTCTTAGGTAGAGCTTTGACCAAGTCCTAGGTGTCATTCTCAATAAGGGCTCGAATCATAGAATCCACAGCATCTTTCCAATGTGGTTTTTTTACAACCAGCTGGTAAGATTTGGGAATGTCTGTGGTAGATAAAACAATGGAAAAAAAAAGCTATGGTCTGGTGAAAAATCATAACGGTTAGGTGGGTGAGAAATTCTAGATGAATGGTGTAAAGTGGGAATAGTAAGTTTAGGGGGAAGGTCAAGTACACTTACTGAGGCAGCTGGAGTGATTGGATCAGCAACTAGTGGCAGAGCAGGGGGCATTGAAACTGAATAAGGTCGTTGCTTCTTGAAGTAGGTCTAGAGTTGTTGCAAAGGTAACAAAGGAATGTTTGAGATACATGTAGAATCAAAATTATGCAACAAGGAAATGGAAGGAGCTGGGAATTTTACAATATGTTCAAAGAATGACACACTTTCAAGAAAAACTACATTACGAGAGGTTCTAATACGACGAACCAAAGGATCATAACAAAGGAACCCTTTATGTTTAGAACTGTATCCCATAAAGGCACATAAAGCTGCTTGTGTAGTTAACTTTGTGTGTTCATGAGGTGGAAGGTGGACAAAACAAGCATAGTCAAAAACCCTGAGCATGGATATGTCTAGGGGTTTGTGAAAAAGGGATTGAAAAGGAGAAGAGTTATTAAAAATAGATGATGGAAGACGATTTATGAGATACATAGCAGTGCTATCCGCCTCCACCCAAAACCAAGAAGGTACATGGGAATCCTGTAGAAGTGTTTTGACTACACTTAAGATATATCCATTCTTCCTTTCTGTTACCCCATTTTGTTGTGGGGTGCTAAGGTAGGATTTTTGGAGTTGAATTCCATGTTGTTTTAAATAATTTTGGAAATCCCCATCAATATACTCTCCCCTTGAATCCGATCGTAGTACACATATCAAATTGGGTAAAAACATAGGTGTGGAAGTGTTTAAATACTGTGTATACTTCAGATTTCTTTCAAAGAAAATAAATCCAAGTGAAATGTGTGCAATTATCAATAAAGCTCACAAAGTACTTATATCTTAGTCGTGAGACAATTGCAGATGACCGGACATCCCTATGTATTAAATAAGAAGGAAACGTTGCATGCTCAGAGTGAGAAGGAAAAGGTAAAATATGACTCTTACACAAACCACAAATGATGCAATCTCCATTCACATTCTTAAAGGAAACAATAGAAACAGGTAAACTACCATAAGCAAATAACTGATCAAGTTTATTAGAGAATGAATGGCCCAGGCATTTATGCCACAAATGCCAATCATTATTACGGTTAACAAATTCAAAACTAGAAGTAGTAGAAATCAAACACGAAGTAGAAGCAGGTGTAGTATTATTCTTCTCAAATTCCAAAGTGAATAGTCTTCCCAGTCTACGCCCCTTCCCCTTCACCTCCTTAGTTTTTCGGTCTTGTATCAAACAACCATCAGAAGTGAATGAACATTGTTACCTTCCTCTACAAGTTGGCCAACTAAAATTAAATTAGTGGTAACCTTAGGTACAAATGAAGTTTTGGGTAAATGAAACATAGATGACTTAGAAGTAGATAAATACAAATCATCACGTCCAAGTATATCTAATTTCTTACCATTAGTAGTGGCAATGTGTTTATTGGGAAGATGGGGTTTGGGACACTGACCAAGTGTGACCCTTGTCATAGGGTTAGAGGCTCCTGAGTCAATATACCAGAGATGATTCAGTGAGGGACAATAGGTTGGTGACTTACCAGACAAACCAATAGCAGAGAAGGCTGAAGAGATAATTGAGGACATGTGCTGTCAAATCCATTCTTCAGACATGCCACCTAAAGTGTCATTTTGGCCAGCCATAGAAGTAATGGATGATATTCCATATGATCCATCTACACCCATCTAATAAGCCTTGTAGCTTCCTTTCTTCTGATTTGATCCACTGATTTTCTGAGTCTGAGTAGGGCATTCAACAATAATATGGCCGAACTGCTTACAGTAAGTGCATGTATTCTTTTTCTTGCAATGAGAAACAACATGCCCGAACTCCTTACACTCATAGCACTGCACTTCATATATTTCACACAACATTCTGATGGATATTTTCCCATGTGTACAAGCTCATACTCTGTTCAAAGATTAATAAACCTAGCATAATACACCTAGACCTTTCTTTCTCCTTGATAATATGAGAAGTTTCAACTTCTATTTGGTATTGTCTTGAGGTGTTTGATTGCTGATATACTTTCTTGAGATACTCGTACAGCTCATAGGCAGTCCTGTATCATCTCATAGGAATTGCAATATCAGTTTCAACCAATCTTAGGATCCTTGATGCAATTTTCACATTATCAATTCCCCACTTATTAAGACCCTTAATGTTTGAATCATCAGGTTTAACTATAGATCCATTCAGATATCCCTAGAGACCTTTTGCCTCCACATGAAATTGAAAATTAAATTTCCAAAGTGCATAGTTCATACCATTAAACTTAATGGGGAGAACTTCCATCCTTTCTAATGCCATTGAGTCACAAGAGCAAGAAAACCACAAAGAATAGGGTTCAAAACAAAGGAAAGAAAGAAGTACCTTTCAGCCAATTCCAGAAAAGGAAACTGTAAGGGCCTGTTGAACTCACAAGTGGCTCAAAACCCTTCTAAATCAAATCCGATTGAAACCAAACCAATTAGAGTCAATAGATTTGCTCTGGCAACACTAGATCCAAAGTTTCATCCTGATTTGATGCCTCTACAGATCCAACAAAAAAGAGAAATCTGATGGTGCAATAGTCCAAAAGAAGTGTCTATAGAGTTCTAATCGAATGCAGTCTTAGATAAGGGATTCAAGACCACTCGAGAGCCTCCCAAATACTATTAGGGAGTACTCTAGGTAGCAGAGAAGAAAGGGGTTATGAAGAGGTTACTTTCAGATCAGATCGTGGCCTGCTCTGATACTAGGTTAGAGTCAGATCGAAAAGTTAGAGAGAAAGAGGAGAGAACACAACAGATTGGTGGGCGTGACACTCAATGTCAGTTGACACCCTAAAAGTTAAATTTATATTAAAATGATAAAAAGGACAAATATGCCCTTAGTGTACAAAGGAAGGAGAGTACAAAGATTAGTTATATAATAAATAAAAGTAAAAATACAAAAATAGCCCTGTGGCTAGATCTTCTCAAAGTCTCTACACAAAAAATTGATAATTATCTTAGCATCACTTTCAATGATAAATGATTGAATCTCAAGCTGTAAGGCAAACTTGATACCTTCATGCAAAGCAAA